GGCGAACGAGCCCAGACCCGGGAACTGGTGGCCTGCGTCCAGCAGCATGGCGCCTTGCCTGCGAACTAAACTCACTCTCGCCAAATTACGCACGGAATTGTTCGGAAGAAAGCGACAGGCAGAGAGGTGATACTGTCACGCAGTCGGCGTGGGAAACCACATAGCTGACTGGAGCGCTCCGCGCAATAACAATCAACAAACAAAAGAAACACTCACTTCTGATCAAGTTTAATAAATTTGCAAAACGACCACAAAAAAAAAATCCAAATGTAACGGCCTCCTCCTGTGCGTCCGAATTCTTCCTTATCATCAAAGTAGTTTGAACGTGAACAAAATAATTCTCTCGCTCTCTCTTTCTCGCTCGCACGCTCGGCTCGCTTGTTGTGCGCTGTGTCTCGTTCGCTCTCGGGGTCTCGTCTCGCGCAGAGGTTCCCAAAAGCTACTCCGCGGACTGGCCCTTCCTCCTCTAACGCCCCCTTTAACTGGGGCCACTTGACGGTCTCCTCGCAGCCTCATTGGCCGCCGCTTCTCATCAATCCCAGGTGGCCCTCCAATGGCAGGTAACGCGGCGTTGTTCCGCTAGAACTACCGCCTACTTTTTTAAGAGAGTTTTGCCAAAGGCGGTCGGGTACAAGAGAGAGGGAGACGTGCGTGTTTTTATGTTTGCATCGGCATGTTGTTGTTTTTACTGCATCTTTGATGAAAATCGAACCACCCGTTTTGCTGTTTCTTAATATAAATGAGCTACGGAATGTGGGACGAGTTCGTATTTTTGCACATGCGTTATAGAGTAAGGGTTGCAAGTCTTTTGAACGTTAAATAATTGCAGTTGCAAAGAGAAGCCGAAGGAAAAAGTGCTACTTCATGTCACTTATCTCACCACACTGTAACGCAATTGTTTAAAAATAATGCAGATTCATCAATAAAACAGGATATTAAGATGCTTGGTGACTACTCTGTATTGAAAATTATAACAACAAATTGCTATTTTTAAAAGTTTTCACGACATATATTATGCACTAAAAAGGTAATATGTGCAGCATGTGATTGTTACACAGTTTTTACAAATCTGTTACATGTTTATTATTATTACACCGTGTGCATCTCATTGGCCGTGTCCCGTGCACAATGAATACAATGGTATATAATAGGCAAATGCCGACTATGTGTCACGTTACGAATATTGTCAAAGAGTCTTATTTATAACACTGTTATTACATACAAAAACCTTCTTATAGTTTTTGCACAAAGTTGGGGTGTGCAGGACTTGTTGCACAAATGCATGTACAGTACACTACCAAATGGAACGTTTTGAATGCATAAAATAAACCAAGGCAAAATAAAATATCTATCTGTCTTGGCGAATAAATATGCATTTTGACTGTTATGCCAAACTGTAAATATGCTATAAACACAACTACTGTATGTATTGCATCTAGAGTAAAAAAAAATACGATAGACTGTATGAATTAATTTTTGGGGGAGTCTGACTGTATTTATTCCATAATGATTTGGGATTAAATACTAATTGTGACATCAAGGCCAGTTTATTAAAATCTTAACAACTAGGGGTTGCATCTTCTGTCCATCCCTTAACAATGAGTTCCGAGGCATGCCATAAGACCTTAACTAGGGATTGCATATTGATCCATTTATCCATCTATCAATCTATCTATCAATCAACACAAATTGAGGAATAAAGATGCACTGTAACGAGAAGACATGCTGTCAAAAAAGGAACATTTAAAAAATGAATAAAAGACCTCCTGATTCAACGCTAAACTTTTTTTTAAATCGAGCATTAACTACCCCTCTTTCTACCATATTTTCAACTAGTGCTTAATTAGCCATGTTGGTTTTCTATGCACGTTGATCATTTATGCACAATCCAGTTTTCTGAAAAAGAAAAAAAAAAGACCACATAAAAATACAGTGGAAGGACTCCAGTGGTCGCGCAGCCACCGAAACCACTAAACCACACAATACAGCCTGTGACTGCTTGTTTGTTTGCTCTTTTGGTTTGCCCCCACATGTTCCACTATTTCTCACATTTACCCCCCCCCCCACACACACACACACACGCACACACACGTTCACACATAATGAGGGAGACATGTTGAGGTGGATGCTTTGATCACCCCTTAAAAACAAAACCACCAGAGAAGCCAAGCACCATATTTGGGGAACAGAAAACTCACAGAAGGGTGGGCAAAGTATGGCCCATGTTTTTGGGGGTTTCTTTTTTCTTTTTTTTTTCTAACTAGCTATTACTAGCATTACATTCGGCCTGCCCTTCGATTGTGAAAGCAAACGCCATCTGAACATTTAACCCCAAAATTGTCAGAGTAGCAACTGCTTTTGCACAATTATGGACCTCGAAGTATTTTATGCAGCAGAAATGGCATGGAAACAAATAAAAGCGATTCAAGCAAGTGAGCATATGTGAGTTTTCAGTAAAATCCACATAGCAAAAGGCAGGTTCAAATATTAAAAAGGAGGACTGGGGATCATTATTTGGCAACATTCCACCTCTAGTATATAAATAGGCCTTTTTCTTGTCACTTCAAAAGTTCAGGAAGGAAGTTGACTTACGTTTTGTGTGTGTGTGTGTGTGTGTGTGTGTGTGTGTGTGTGTGTGTGTGTGTGTGTGTGTGTGTGTGTGTGTGTGGGGCACCGGCCATTTGCCATTTTGCTCTATCGTCGAAAATAAACTTTAGGAATTTGTTGTGCCATTTCTCCCACCGCCCGACCTCTAGTGTGCAGCCTCAGCGTTTGGGACATTCTCCTCCTTCTCCTCTTTCTTGAGTCCAGTTCAGGCAGCACGGCAGGAAACGGAGGAGCTGATCCAAGTTCAAAGTCAGGTCCGCCGGCCCCTTATAGAAGAACTTCTTTCTTTCACTTGCCCGGCCTGCATGGGAGGGAGAAAGCGAGAAGAAAAAAAAGAAGGAAAATTCATACTAAAAGAATTGGGCGTGAGACAATTGCAAGTATTAGTTTGGAGTGTCGCTTTCTGACAGGTTTGAAAATGATAAATCACACGTTATGAAGGAGACCCCCCACATTTTAGGCCCCTAGGGTCTTCTAATGCTATGTGACAATATCAATATGTTGTCACGCCGGGAAGGTGACTGGTGGGCTCGGCGTGACCTTGTGGATTCATAGATGTTTGAACTGTGACCCCCTTAAGACCACATACGCTGCCCTCTGGACTCTTCGCTGTAAAAGAGCCCGTTTGTCACAAAGACAGATTTTTTTTTTTGGGGGGGGGGCAACAAAAAGGAGGAATGGTGCAATATGTATCCCCACTACACCCCTACATTATGCCCCTTAAAAGCCATCAAGTTGTTCAGATGATATGACAATATAAATGAGTCTTCTGCACAAATGAGGAATCACAAATTTGAAGACGGACAATTAAAGCTGAATTGCTCATCACTTTGCATGATGAATATTTCATGGGGCACGAGGTGGTCCAATAATGCTAGGCACCAAAAGTTTATGTTGTACTCATCATTTTCAGCCCCCAAATTTCTTATCGGCCAAATCTGTGCCCAAAAAATAAAGAGATAGATTCCATGTTCAAGCAAAAACAAAAAACAAACAAACAAAAACATTTGATGCAAATACAAAACACATTAGTGCCAAAGCTTATACTACGATGCATACATTACAAATATGATGAAAATATTTGACACAAACAAGTGTGTGTGTGTGTGTGTGTGTGTGTGTGTGTGTGTGTGTGTGTGTGTGTGTTCTACGATTTTTTTTTTTTTTTTTGCCAAATGAATAGTGTACTCTTTCTCGACAGGCACACATTTTCTGAAGACAGATGTCGTCGTGGCCACTTTGGACAACAGTTCCTGTTAACCTCGCCGCAACAAACGACAACGATGCCAATGAAGCCATTTGAGTGACTGATCCTCGTCCAACTGTCAAACGAGGACATGTCAAAAAAGTGTGTATAAAGTGTGTGTGATCAGTCTGTGAACGTCAGCTAGGTTGCACTACCGCGCAGGCAGACTAATGTAGATGCGTGCGCGTGTGCGAGCGTGCGTGTAACCCTCCATCCGAAAGCTGGTGGCAAATAACAGTTGACAGGGGGAAACATACACACGCACACACGCAACTGGAGTTGAAATAATATTGCTTCTTCAATGCCTTGATTGAATAGTGGAATGTTTGAGAGAAAGGAGGTAATCATTGCCAAACATTATGCAATGCTCGAAAAACAAATCTCAATCACTCCAGACGGAAGAAGGAAATATTGAGCCATGGAATAAATGGGAGAAAAATTGAAATGTGTAAAAAACAGATGAATAATTTTGGGCTTTACGTAAACGATGACGATGCCTTTCGTGCAGAGGGAGCGGATTCGATTTCCGTACGGTCCCCAAAACCCCTCACAACCGCTACAAGTCAGGATTTAAAAAAAAACGAGTCGGTTGTGTCAGGAAGGACATCCGGGGTAAAAAAAAAAAAAAAATCTTGCGAGTGACTCGCTGTGGCGACCCCTGATGTGACAAACCAAAAGTCGCATACATAAAAGGAAGAACAGGTTCCACATTTGATTAGGCGTTTAATTAGTGCAACGTTCAGCTAAATTATGTCTTGAATGTGTAAAAAAGCAGTGATAAATAGGGACTATGATAGATAGACAGATAAAAAAAAATAAAAAATAAACGCAACATTATTACACTATGCATCCACCAGCTGTTTATCCGTCAAGCGACCTCGTCGCCCAGCAGAAGCGTTCTCGATGCTCTCGGTAGTGATCAGAACCAGACCGAAGTGCAACCTGCAACTTTGCGAGTCCCAACTTTTTGTAGTGCGGCGTAGACTGCGTGGTGAGGAGGGGGAGTGGGATGGGGGGGCGGACCCCCGCTGGGCCCCTCGGCTGAACGGCAGCCAATCGCCTCGTCCGCCGGGCTGCCACTCACCCAAATCCGTCCAATACCCGCAGTGGCATTTCTAAAGCGGGTCCCCCCACTGCGTGCTCCAACTGTTGTGTGTTCTGCCCATCGCTCGAGGACGCAGTGAAGTGGGGGGGGAAAGCAGAGTTCGACGCCGGACAAAAGAACTTCTAGAGCCCCTTATATCCATATTTCCATGCGTGGTGCATGAGGGCGCGCGCATGGAGTAGTCATGGAAGCCCCTTTGAGCAAGAGGAACCCCACGTTAAGATTAGCGGATTTGGCAGCCACTCAAATCCTTCCTCACCAGAACATGACAGGCTTCCCGGGGCTAGGGGGGCATCACCCTCTCTCCCACCATGCCCACCTCCACCCTGGGGAGCTGGCCAACGACCCCGGCGTGGCACTCACTCCATTCGGACCGGAGCACATGGCACAGACCAGTGCTCTCAAACTCAGCCCCTCGCAGCACATCCAGAGCCACCACGAAGCCCAGACCGCGGCTGCGGCGGCGGCGGCGGCTGCGGCGGCGGCGACCGCAGCCTCCTTCGCTCCGGCTCAGAGCAGCGTGGGCTTCCCCGTGGCCCACCATCCCCACCCGGGTTACTCGAGCAGCAGGGACTTGATCCTCAGGAGAGAACTCTCAGCCTCCGCCATGCACGCTCTCGGCGACCAGTCCGCCGCCTCCCCCCATCACCACCACCACCACGGCGTGTTCATCTCCCCAACAGGTGCGTACGGCCACGCGGACAGCGGAACCCACTCTCTCTTCTCGGGGCTACACGAGCAAGCGTCCCCGGGCTCGCACCCGCATCACCACGCACTCAACGGGCAGATGCGCCTGGGTCTACCCGGGGACCTCTACGGTAGGTCGGATCACTTTGGGGCCCGGCCGGATCACTACGGAGCCTCGACGCTGCACGGCTACAACAACGTCAACGCCGCTCACGGCCCCGCGGGGGCCTTCCTGCGCTACATGCGGCAGCCCATCAAGCAGGAGCTCATCTGCAAGTGGGTCGAGCCGGAGCTGCAGAGTCCCAAGAAGCCCTGCTCCAAGACCTACAGCACCATGCACGAGCTGGTCAACCACGTCACGGTGGAGCACGTCGGCGGGCCCGAGCAGAGCTCCCACGTCTGCTTCTGGGAGGAATGCCCGCGGGAGGGGAAGGCATTCAAAGCCAAGTACAAACTTATCAACCACATCCGAGTGCACACCGGAGAGAAGCCCTTCCCGTGTCCCTTCCCGGGCTGCGGGAAAGTGTTCGCCCGCTCGGAAAACTTGAAGATCCACAAGAGGACACACACAGGTCAGTAGATCCACTCTTACGTAAGGAAAAACATCATCCGTCGGCAAAATTAGCGGCGTGGCCGTGCGTAATTACGCGGACCAGAACTGAAAAGTACAAGCCCTGTTCGAATCGGAACCAGATCATTGACTCAGACTTTCAACAAATATGGCGATATATGAATCCTTAGCCGTAAGCATTTAACTAAACAATTTGCGCATCATGAGTATAAATGCGATTTTACGCACGGCTCGTCGTCTTTACGCGTGTGATAGTTTTGTCACTGGAGGTGACTTCGGTGTTCGGGTGAAGGTCTGGAAAACAGAACCTGAAAAGTATGATTTTAAAACGTCTAAAATAAAAGTTAAAAAGACACGTGTCCAACTGCGAACAGGGAATGCCGTGCTTTAAATCTGCCCAACACTCCGATAAAAGTTTTTTTTTGTAAATCTAATTTCTAATCCAAACACAAACCATTTTACTTTTAAAAAGTGGTAATGCGCATGTGCAAGATGCCGTATATGTAATGCATGTGTTTCCAAGTATGCGTGCAGTTACTCTCCAAAACAACTCGCCTCCTCCGCCTCCTCCTCACACATGTAACCAAGTGGCCTTAAGGCATGTTACACGTGTTCACACTGTAAAACATTCATTGCACATGTGAGGAGGGGGCTCAGGGGTGGGTGCGTTCATGCGTTCAAGATGTTTCGAAAATGAAACAAGTCCTCTCATTGCATCTCTGTTGTCATTAAGGTGAGAAGCCCTTCAAGTGCGAGTTTGAAGGCTGCGACCGGAAGTTCGCCAACAGCAGCGACCGGAAGAAGCACTCGCACGTGCACACGTCCGACAAGCCCTACTATTGCAAAGTGCGCGGGTGCGACAAGTCATACACGCACCCGAGCTCCCTGCGCAAACACATGAAAGTGCACTGCAAGAGCCCCCCACCGCCCCCCAACAACACGACCACGTACATCCCCTCCTCCGCCACCAGCAACCCGCTCGGAGAGCCCCTCTCCCCGCAGCGGAACCGCTCCGCCAGCCTCTCCCCGCAGGTGACCAACCTGAACGAGTGGTACGTATGTCAAGGCAGCGGAGGGGGGGCGCACCACCAACACCAGCAGCACGATCTACACTCCCCCTCCAGTGACGTGCCCACCTCGGAGTCAGAAGATGAGGACTCGTTTAGAAACGCCGACCCCAGGACGATGCTATGATGGACAACCTTCACTTCCAAAAATGAAAGCACTCAATCAAAGTGGATGCAGTTCAACAACCAGCTCCGTTCAAAGTAACATTTTTTTTGTAGGGTGATGCAAATTATAGCAATATTCAGATTCCACCAACAAGTGTCCCGCCACGTAGTGCAGGGCTGGGCCAAAAATTTACTGTCAGTGCCCTTTTTTCAATGAAATCCCCAAGGGCCATACAAAAATCATGGAATAATAGGATCAAACAAATGTTCATTATTGTCTTGACGAAAACAGCCCATTGGGCGCAGGTTTCTCACACGTGGAAAACGGACTACTTTTTCAATGTTAAGAGCTATCACCTGCTTTAAAAAAAGATAAGAAAAAAGTTACATGTTTTTATGTCAAAAATACGTCTCAAGGGTTCTCTTTGTGTTTTGGATGTGTGTTTTTTTTGTGTAATATTTAAGAGTTATTTAAGTCTATATTTTATGCAATGACAACAAAAGTCCCTCGAGACCCTAAAATACACTGACAGGCTTGGTTGGATTTGTATATATGTGAGTGTACTCATATTTGTGAATGTTGTAGTTTTTATTGAGACTAGAAAAACATTTTTTTTGTATATTGTAATTTATTTGCTGGTTTCAATGTTGTACTGAAATTACGGAAGCACCAAAGAAATAATGGTAATAATAATTATACCAGTTTTTGTGGTAGTAACCTGCTGATATTTTTGTAATTTTCGTTATATATATTTTTTTCAAATTTAATTTACAGATTTTTTAAATACAGTTCTTTGTCCTGTAAAAAGACTCACTTAGGCTGTGTAATGTGAAACGTTCATTTTTTTTTTTTTTAAGGAAATCTCTCGCATGCCTTTTTGATTTTTTAAATATTTGTGATGTGTCTCTTTTGTTGAGGTGCATGGTGCCATTTGGACATTATGGATATTTTTTAAAAAATAATATGAAAAATGGGGATAAATGACTTTGCTGACCCTTGTTGTTTCAAATGGCATTTATAACAATGACAAGAAAATAAGAACACAAAAAACATGAATAAATACCAATCCGGAAGTCAATACCTGCTATGTTCTACATTACTATTGCACAGCATCCCAACAATTGGATTTTGTGTGTGTATGTCATTTTCCAAGTGACACATTCATTTATATCAAAAGTGATTCTCACCTGTAATTCCCATCCAGAGATGGATGAAGCTGTTGCGTGATTGTGCTGCAAAACCTGGTGGAGAAAAATCCAACAATCAAAGCTCTTCTTCGATATTCCCCCGCATTGAAAATTGAAAAGGCCCAACGTGGCCCTCTATGCAGCGGCCTGTGCATGTGTGAGGCCCACGCACAGCTTCAAAGCCCGTCACAGGAGGGATACGTTGTCGCTTGAAAAAAAAAAAAGAGGGGGAGGGGGGTTAAAAAAAGTGCACAGATGCCTAAATGTTATATGCCTGCACTGTTACATCAAACTGAATGCAGTTTGAGCAAAACAGAAGCAGCATCCTCAGCTGCAGGCTATTAAACTCCCGAATAACAAATACCGGTATATTAACAAATATGCAGCTAAAATCAAATGATGAATGGTGATTGCGACTGCCTATGGTTTTCCCTCAGTGTCAACACAATATCGGCTATAGATTACATAAATCAACAAAAAATACACCAAGCTCCACACAAGTAGGCCTACAGAAAAAGGGGGAAAAATAAGTCTCGTAGACGTGCAATTGTTTTTATAATGACTCTTCTAACGCACCATCACAATGGGTGGGGGGGATCATATTACAGTATAAAGTATAAAAAAATCATAAGCAGCCAATATAGGGAGTATTTACACTTTCATTATGTATATTTGACGCTTGTCCGCTGCTGCATTTCTAAAGTAAGATCGTTATAACTATCACTACAGTAGAATAAGACACACTGTCAAAAAAATAAGCTGGATTTCTGTGTGCGCGTGCGCGCGCGCGCGTGTGTGTAGGTGTGCGTGTATACTGCCTGGGTGACTTCTGCTGCATTTTTTATCCATAATCATGCGTCATTTTAATTAAAACTAAGTGTAAAAAAATCTAAATACGATCAGAGTCGTGTGCATCAAATGGTTTTCGTGTAGTGTGGTTCTGATGAATGGATCATCATCATCATCCTTTGTTAAAATAGAAATATCATCAGTCGTGCATATTTGATGGTTCTAAGAAATTTGCGTAACCAAAGCTGCGGTAAAATAGACATTTGATTGTGGGGGTCGGGGGGGGGGGGGAAATGCATGTGGTTTTCATACACTCGCATGTTTCAATATCATTCCTGTTTTATGCATGCGGTCAAAATTGCCATCGAGGAAAAAAAACATTTAATGGCAAAATAAATAAACAATTTAAAATACCAATGTATCAACCGCAAATTACACGTAAAAGACATTTCACCGTATTTGATACACTTGCTCTTTTATAGTATTTCCTGTTGAGGTTGACGCCCACCCCAAAAGGCTAATCATTTTTTATTTATTTTTTTAACAAGGTGGCTTTCCCAATCAAGAAAATACACAAATAGTTGCTCTTACATGCCGTGGAGAGGAGAGGAGTTCATAAAATAACACGGAGGGGGGAAAAAGGAGAAGAAGAAGCAAACGAGGCGGCGGTCACCCTCGAGTGGCAAAAGCTTTGAAGTGGAACTTATTATCCCGGGAATACTTTTGGGGTTGTCCTAACGACGCGGCTGAATGGGAGAAGGCGCTCCTTTGTCAGCGATTTGTTCTCCTTTAGTGGGACGCCCGTGGAAATGTACTTACATGGGCCACCTTAACACGCCGCGTGCAAATCAGTAACCGGCCGAGTCAGACTTGCAGACGCCACTATTTGGACGAAAGGACAAAGCAAAAAAAAAACAAAAACAACCCCCCCCCCCAAAAAAAAAACATCCACAAAACGACGCCCTTTTTTTTTTTTTAAGGGAAGGGTGTTAAATGCTAATATAATACATATGGGCGCAAACAAAACAAATTTAATTGTCGGCAAATTTTTCTTTGAAGGTGTCATTTCGATCCCACCTTAAAAAGTGTGTGTGTGTGTGTGTGTGTGTGTGTGTGTGTGTGTGTATTTGTGTGTGCGCGCGCGCGTGCGCTGTTGGTGGACGGGGGGGGGGGCGGCAAGCACCTGCGCACTCTGCAGGGACACCTTGCAATGCAGCCTCCTCTTTATGGAGAGCTGAGGTGGACATGCATAACAAACATACTTTTCCTACTTTTGTTTCATCATCATTTCTCTTACAAAACTTCCCCACCGCCCCCTCCATCCCCCCCACAAAAAAAGGCACACACCATTTTTCAAGGGCCATGTTGGGTTCGCATCTTACAATAGGCCATCTCCTTTTCAGGGGGTATTGGCGAAACGAGCATCAGCAAATAAGAATTTTTGCCACTTTAAAGTCACATGACAAAACACCTTCAAAAATCGGATTCAGACAAATTCTTTTCATGTGCATGCAGGTGTACTTTTAGTTGGGGAAGGTAAACTTGTGGAAATCAAACCCTTGCCTCCTTTTTTATTTTATTTTTTTTCTCTAAGTCAGCGACATCACTTTTCAAAATATATTTTTAAAGGAGTTAATTTCCCCATTTGAGTGTGGCAGTCACATCTCATCGAGTTTTTTTTAAGCAGTCAATTGGGGCACCGGTCCATTTGGGGGCTGGGGGGGGGGGGACCTTGCATTGGATGGCCTCCAACAAGGAGAGGAAAACGCAGCTGAAAAAAAAATCAGCTTTTCTTTCAAAGCATGATCTACAGTATTTGGGAAAAAAAGCAACGGTACTTCTTAATGTGCATGCAAGAACATCTTGCCATCGATAGCATTCTCTCTTTTTCTTTTGGTGCGTGTTTTTTTTCAGGAAGAGAGGGCATGCTGAAACAATTTTCTTTTTAGCAGTGGTAATTTTGGTGCAGGAAATTGTATACATGGTTTTATAAAATATTTGAAAGAATAGGTCGTATTTTTCATGTGCATTATTGTCCAATTGGGAGGGCTGGCCACCTTCTTTGTCGGGGTGAGGCGAAAGGGGTAGGATGCCGAACCAAACACCTGAGTGTCATGCAGTGAGATCTCCTTTAAAAAGAGGCCACTTTCTTGGGTGCATGTGAGGGGTGACCTCCAATTTTTGAGGGTGCTCTGAAAAAGGGGGCATGCAGACTGAAATCCCTCCAAAACCAGTTTATGTAAGTCACATTACGTTACCCTCAAAATATTTTATTTTACAAAAAAAAAAAAAAATGTGTGTGTGTTTACAGTGTCATCTTTCTTTTTTGAGATGGAGATGAAAGGGTAAGAAGAAAATATTTTCCTCACTAGTATTAATGAGCGTGTCGCATTAGCTTCAAAAACTGCTTTTTTTTTTTTTTTTTTAAAGGGGGACATTTCTTCGGTGCATTGTTGGCTGGTGGCACCTGCCTGGAAAGGGGTGGCCATCTTTTTTTGTGGGTGGGATAGAAGAGGGCATTAACAATTCACCACATCACTTTCGTGAATATGTGAAGAAAAAAAAAAGTTACATTGCATACGTGCATTAATGGCACCTGGGAATGGGTGGCATCTTCTTGGAGTGGGCAGGAAAAAAAGGGCAAGCACCTCTTCGAATACTGCATTGCTTCTGGGAACTTTCTTCTTCGGTTGAATGAATTATTTGCTTCTTTTTGGGGTCCAAGTGGGTCCATTGAAGGTGCACATGGTGGTCTCATCGTCCACGTCTGGTCCGGCTCAAAGCAGTTCTGCGTTCACCTCAGAGGCTAAGACGAGTGAGGGAGTTGAAACATGTGACAATGTGCACTCCCAGGGGGGTCACTGGACTGACCTGGACCCTTCTAGGCTTTTCATTGCAACTTCATTAAATCAATTACTCAGTGAACACATCAGGATTTTTTTTTTGTGGTGGGTGGGAAGTTTTCATATTGAGGAAGAAAGAAAAGAACATGTTTTTACTTCAGACGTTTTTATCATTCTCATTTCCGTTAAACACATAATTGGTTTACTAGAAGTTTTATATGAAACATGAATCACAACAAATCATTTCCAAAATTTGTTTTCTTTCCACCTCTACATTGCAAAACTCGATTGGGAAAAGAAAATCAAAAACATCTTTTGGTGGGAGGAAGTAAAAATAAACAGAGAGAATGTGGTCGCACAAATGTTCACATGCACTCTCCTAAAACTGGGGATGTGGCTGTGCTCACAATCAAATGAAGTTCAGCTGTTAATCGACTTATTTTTTATCATTTTCTTACCTGAAGGTTTTGTGCCGAGACTGGATTTTGGAACTGTTCATAATTCACTCCGCCATGACTAAGGGCCGTATTTCTTCTGAAGTAACACAGCCC